TTTTTTTTTTTTTTTTTTTCGTAACTTTTTGTTAGCTTTTTTTCGAAACTCGCGAAGCGAACACGTGTACGCGTAGAGTTGACGTGTTCGAGTCTACGATCAAAACGGAATTAGAAAGTTGTGATTTTCTTCTCATGTATATATGTGTACCTAGTTCGTGATTAAATTAGCCTATATATCGTCGTGGGAGGAAGCTTTGAAAAGATATAGAGAAACAAGAGTACACAAACGTCGAGCATACGAGTTTCTAATCTTGAAAAAAGTTTTTATCAAAGTTTGTTTTATTAATGTGATTTTCATTATCTTTGCGAATAAATTATTTATAGTTCAAATTCGTCGACGTTGTTATATCCAAATTGTTCGACAATCGTGTAGCCTTGTATATTATGTATAATCTTATTTATATAAAATATATATCATTTCATTATTTAACGTGTTATTTTTTTTTTTTTTTTTTTCTAACAAGACCATTAATAGGACAATAATTTTGAAGATAATTCGAATATATTTTTCGAGATAAATAATAATAATAATCTAATATAATTACACGTTGCAATAATTCATTTTACCTTGATAATTAGCACTCGTAGAAACAATTTGTTTGAAATTAAATTTTCATTGGCATAAATGTTTCTAACGTGCATCTAATATTCACGACCTACTTATTCGCAAGGACACAACAATGTTATAAAATTTATATATAATTTCGCATTAATCGTAGAACGTTCTTCTTATAATAATTCTCGTTTTAATTTTCTTGTTACGTAAATGTATTTATTATTCGAATACGGTAATTTATCGAAATTTATTATACACGAACATCGCGTTGTATATTTTTTTGACGTTTTCTTCTTTGGCTTTGTAAAAATGTGCGACCGTGCGTACAGATTGAGACAGATTTACTTTAGTACCTTTACTCGTACTTATTCGCGTTAGTACATAGAAGAAATGACGTATAACATAGGCCCTTCTAGATTAAGTCGCGATCACGTTACTTTTCTGTCAAGATGAAAAATTGTACTCGTGCTTGATAACGAACTTGAGAGACATTATCGGTTGGCTCGTATTAAAACCGTTAATTTTAAACGAGAATATGGGAAAGATCAAATTCGAAAGGAAAAAAAAAAGAATAAAAAAAATAAATAAAACAAAAAAAAAACATATAAACGAATGTGAAAGGGAATATAGAATTAAATCTTATAGCGTAGTAGATTTATAAATCGATATTAACGAAAAGAAATTTTGATGTGCGTCACAGATAAGATAAACAAAATAACCTTCTACACGATGTATTATAATTATTTTCATAAAATATTATTATATACGATGAAAAAATTGTGTTTAGTAAAAACTAGTTAACATCTTTATTGATATAATTAGAATCGTCAAAGAAACACGTTGCCACTTTGATAGGATAATAATATGTAGTAACTAAACGTGAAAGTGTTTTACAATGTTCTCGTTAAGTTCTCTCAGATCAGGGGTGGGGAGGGGTGTTTATTATTCATCCTCTATGAAAACTTGCATGCGAGATCATTTTATGGAAAAGCTTTTCCGTAGACTGTCGTCTTTGCTTTTAACTCGTTGGTAACACCGGTTTAAAAGGGCGTTCGAGCGTTTGAGCCGTTCACTGAAAATGAACTCGACGTTTCATCTTATAAGAGAGAAACTGTTACTTACTGGTAATTCTTCAATTGAATTACGCGTTCAACGAAAAAGCTTATAAATTTCTTCGTTTAAATGTAATCGAAATTTATAAAGTAACGCCTGACAATTATCTCGTATAATTTTCGTATATATATATTTATTTTTTGTGTAAATAATAAGTTCTTTCTTTTCTTTTTTTTTCCTCCCCTTTTTCCCTCCCCCCGGTCAAATTAATCGCAAAAAAGCATCATCTCTCGTTAAAAGTTTCTTTTCCCAGCGTTCAAAGCCAAGCAACAACTAAATTCGACGATACTCAGCTAGCGTCGAAACGTAATAGCCCCTTGAAAATCCGGAACTCACTATTCCCTGGTCAATCCAGTGGCCGTCGTTCTGGTATAGACGGTGGGGGGGAGGGTGAGTGAGGGTTTCCCCGGTAGAATTTTCGCAACGTGCGAAAACACTTTTCGCGGCGATCCACGAGGGATTAAACTTTCCCCCGGACGTTTTTCTTAAGGGGTGAGTGAGATAGATATGGGTATACGGTATATACACCTTCATAATATATATATATACACACACACAATATATTTATATATAGATATAGTATATAGTAGACTTGAGGGTGCTTCTAGCCACCCTCAAACGCGTGGCAAATCGTTTAAGCTGAAGAAAAAGAGAAAGAGGGAAGAAAAGGACAGGAAATACCACCATACACGCGTTAAAAGAAAAAGAAAATGAAGAAGAAGAGAAAAAAGAGATACAGATATAGAATAAAAGGTAGAGAAACGTATCCCAAACCGAGAAACCCGTTAGTATATATCACCAATATTATCTTGGAAGGTATTGGGAGGGGGGGGCGGCGCGATAGCAAAGGACTGTTGAAAAGGTAGGAAAATACTGTGCCTTCTTCCTCTCTCTTTCTCTCTCTCTCTCTCTCTCTCTCTCTCTTGGTGCCACGCGATATTACCAGGGCTTAGAACGCTTGGGACTGACTTCATTATGTGACCAAGATAGAGAGAGAGAGAGAGAGAGAGAGAAGCATCGAATGGAATGTGGAATGGTCGGTTGGTCGGTCGTGTGTATGGTTGTGCTGCTGCTGTTCTCTATGGTTGGTCGCTTTTCTGTGGGTTGCTTGCTCGTGTGGAAGTCGAGTGTACGCGTCTGCTCCAACTCGTTGTGTTTCTCTCTCTCTCTCTCTCTCTCTCATTCCGATATAACACTGCCTCTCTCTTTCTCTTTCCGTTTTCCTCATAGTTTCTCTCTATCCCTCTCTCTCTCTCTCTCTCTTTCTCTTTCTCCTTCTCTCTTTTCCCCATATCTCTCTTCTTCGTCTTCCGCCGTAACTGGAAGGACCCAGCACGCACTCAAGAGAACAAGAGGAACTTCACGGACGACGGCTGTATTCCTGTCTCTTTTTCTTGATTTTTTTCTTTGCGTGCTTTTAGAGGTACAGGAATACGATATCCTTTGCGAAATTCGTGATTTCGTTGTCGTTAGTTTTTTATTCGGTAACGTTATCAAACGATCGCTAGATATTTTCGATCTCTCGTGTAGGTATTTTTTTTGTTTTCTTTTTTTCTCTCTGTCTCTCTCTCTCTCTCTCTCTCTCTCTCTCTCTCTCTCTCTCTTTCTCATTATATTTTACTTATTTCATTCTTTTTTTTTTTTTATTTCATATTTTATAGAGTCAGGGAAAAAATAAATGATTTATAGAANGTGGAATTCGTTTTCAACGAGCTCGTATTTGATTATAAAAATATATATATATATATAAAAAAGTATATTGTGTATTAAATAAAAATGTAAAGTTATATCTATGTATGATATTTAAATATGAATTGTTATCGCAAATCAACGTTAGTCGCGATTAATCTTCTGTTGGTCTATGAAAAAAAAAAACCTGAGAAATATTAAATAATATTATACGTTATCATTATCCTATTTGAAATGGGTTACACGTAAAAGCACTTAGTACCCACTCGAATGTAACTCTCCACGTATTCTAGTTCGTGTCTTTTAGTTAAAATATGGTTAATGAAAAGCTGTCAAAGATTGTGATGCTTGTAAAATAACGGCTTTGAGAAAAGAAAAAAAAGAAAGAGAGAGAGAGAAATATAATAAATACATATATGGATACAAGTAATAAAACGTTGCTTTGAATTTTTTTTTTCGTAGAATCTTACATTAGAAATTCAATAACATCTTATGATGGACGAAATATCATGTTGTCTTCGAGTAGATTACGATAAGATTTCTGTTACTGTCGAAGTATGTACTTAGAATGGACTCCAATATCGAAGAGTAAATATACTTGTGAATTCTCTCTTAGCTTTTGACATTGCTTTCTTTATTCCGATAAGATATTCTAGGCTTTCAGAGCGTCGTTGTTGTTTGTAGAACTTCTTCTTCTTCTTCGAAGAAGAAAGAGGAGAAGGAGGAGGAGGAGGAGGAGGATATCTTTCTCTCGAGTTGTGGTTCGAAGAAAATTCTAATCGAAACTTTATACCATCGTTACATTTAGTATGTTCCTTTGTTTCTCGAATTTGTACAACGGTGTAGTATTCATAAAGAAAGCAAACTATATATATATATATTACAAATTGTTCAAAAGATCATGAATTAATATTATTTTTACACTTGTATTTATTTGATCAATTTTATTTGGTCAGTATCTATAAAAAAAAAGGGGGTTGTACGGTTGCATTACAAGTCTATGTATATATACTTAAATTTGATTATAAATATTGAACATATAATAATATAAATATAAATATTTTTAATGGAAAAAATATTGTTTAAAATACTGCACGCGCGATGTGAGCGAAATAAAATAAGCTGTTTTATATTTACCTTAGGAAACATTGAAAAAGATACATTTCAAATAAA